AGATATGATATACATACTAAGAATTGTAAGAACTTAATCTTAAATAAAAATTATTTTTAGTCACTATAGGAATTTACATCAGGATTGGTAGCATGACTTTCAATAATAATTTACACTAAAAGAATTCTTTTATTATTGTAATTATCAAAATGTTAATTTTTTTTGTATCTTGGGGTTGGATTTTCATGTATAATTCATTTGTCTCTGAATTTTTTTTGGTTGAAGAATATCAGAGAAAATTTCAAAATTTAGATAGGTTATATATTTATGTTGATGATAAGTTAAATTTTTGCAAGAAAAAATATTCCGTAAATGTTAGTCTTAACTACGAAAATATGGAAAATCGTGTTTTTGGCACCATTTATCCAACCTTGATTTTAAAAGAGAAAGATTCTCTTCCATATTATGTCCAAACAGGAACTGACAATTCAAGTATAAGTAATCTAGGTATTGACAAAAAGAAAAATTTTGTAAATGTAAATCATTTTCTATCTTATGAGCTAGTAATACCTGTTATTGGATATTTCCATATAAATTTTACTTGTCTTTGAATTTGATGGTAGAAGAATTTCCGAGGTTCGTTAAATATTTGAAAAAAAAAATGTCAAACATGTTAGTTTTAATAAAGTCATGGATGAAAAATCGTATTTGAATCACCAATTCTAACCAAGTTGGATTTCGTCGAAAGTTACTTATTATATCAGTTATCAGATTACTGAAATTTGTAATGTTATGGACAGGTAAGACCGTAAATTACGTGTGTGAAAGGTCAAACGTAAATTGAGCCCAACGAAAGGAAACAATTATAAATTGCAAATTATTTTGTAGTAAAAAATTTAACACTCAGTTCAATTAGGCACATTACATGATCATAGTTGTAGTAAAAAATATTCATATAACATATAGGTAGTTTGAGTAAAAATGATTTCAACTTAATTGTGTTCAGTTCATTTAGAATTGAATTTTATGATTAAAGTTAGAAAACAAAGCGCTTTTGGGTGTACACCTTTTTTCAGTTCTATTATTAAATAATATTAATGCCCAAATGATGTATAACCTTTTAAACGATCGATGCGCAAACGATGTATAACCCAAAAATCAAACGATGCGCAATTGTCTTACAAAAAAGGTCAAAAATAACAATAATGATGCGCAAACGACGACCGGCGATTTTTCAGCTACAAATTTCTGCGTAGTAAATGGCACCCAATAGAAATATTATTTTTATGATAGTCATTTAGCGATTCAATACACATTTTTACACTACATCACCATTTGGTTTCACCCGAAGACAACTCACGTTTTAATTTTGGAAATTTATAAGTATGGTAGATTATTACATCATTTTCTTTCTGGCTAAATCCAGTATGTATATAATATCCATGGTAGATTGTTGCAAGCAAACGGATTACTAAACTATATTACCTAACCTTTACGTTAAGTCGTTTTATATGCATTGAAAGGCATTGATATCGCTATTATCATAACGATTATAGCGAAAAGCGTACGGCTACCAATAAATGAACAACAGTATTTTTAAAATACACATACTAAGTAACGTTGAATTTAAGATCACTTAGATACTATGGGCGCAATTAACTATACCCATTTTAGAAACCAAAAAATCCCGGGCACAATTTACTATAGTATTTTTATTACCTGCTTAATGTGGGCGCAATTTATAAGCGCCCGTATGAACCACAAAGAACGAAATGTATTAGTTATCGCACCCTTTTTTCCCAACTGAACACTCAAAAGTATGTTTGGTCATATCACGACGACGTTTCAGGCGTTTCTTTTTACTACTCATCTCAAACTAGTCGAAAACAGACAAATTATTATTATGTATTATAGCCATACCAAACGGGTTTTCAGGAGTTCAATACATGCAATTTCCACGTAGGTCTTGTAAATATGTGCGTTTTAACTATTAAGTGATCAGTACGTGTATTACTATAGGAGTGGTACCGAACTTTTAAACGCGAACTCAAGCCGAATAATAAATATTGGTACAACGGCCAAGAATACTCTCACGCGCCACAAGTCTATATTATTATTTACATTCCGAAAAAACAATCTGTGAAAGTTTAATTTGTTTAACTTGCAAAGGAAATGTTGCTAACGCAACGAGTTAATATTTATCACTCGTAATTTAATTCGAGTAATGTACCTATAAGATATCTAAGCAGATATGTACATATATTTAATATGGGGATATTAGTAATTAATTTAGGGCAGAGGACTTATGTCCTAGAAAAAAACACTAGATATGAAAGTATTTATTTGATAGCACATAAAAACTAAAAAAATATGCTCTAAAAAAGTAAAAATATTCGTTTAAGATTTTAAGTTTTTTAAGTCTTAATTAATAAATATTAATAAAATAGAAATAGGAAAATTCAATAATCTAATTTAAATACATTTAAAATGATTTAAATTAAAGAATAATGGATTTTGGTTTTGATAGGCATTATCAAAAAAATATATCAAAAATAAATCTATATAATATATTTCAAAATTCAAAACCATTTAAATATTCCAAAAATTGTTACAAACAATTACAGATTTGTATTCGTCGTGATAGAAAATTAATTTGTATATATCCAACCTATTAAAAAAAAAACCTAAGACAGTTAATATTCAAATATTAAAAATTCTCTGTCCTTATAATTATATAATAAAGGGTCATGTTGTCTAAAGTCTAAACTATTTATTATATAAATATCCAATAGGTAACCATTCATGTAACCCTTATTTTCATGAAATAATCATACATGTTCGGTTATGAATCGCAAACATAGCTGTCAGCCTTCCTTCACATTATTTAAAAATATTTTCAATTCAACCTTACTTAACTTATCAATAACTATAGGTGAACAACGGTAAACAATGTAATACGCGTGCTCAATTGTATGTACTTTTTGTTATTCTTACAAATTGCTATATTAAGCATAATAATTTTTATAATTTAATATAATTTTAGTAAATACTTGAAGTCCCGGGTACAGGTATGTTGTTGTACTACCAAATCAATACCAAACCTATCAAATCTAACCTTTCGCAACACATAAACATGATTAGATTTGAAACTAGGTTAAGAAAACATTTTTGTCCGTGACTTGTAACAACATTTAGCATTACGTCTTAGTCAGTAAGTTTTAGTATACTAAAAATGACATGTAGCAAAATAGATAATTAGGTTATAAGCTAGATATAACATAAGATAATATACATGACGAGTAGTGATTGAAAATTTCATGAAATTTAAAAAAATGAAATATTTCAGTATTTTAATAAATTTTAAATATACATTATACTATAAACTATATATTATATTTTATATACTATTTACCTGCCTACCATAAATAATTGTAATTTGCGCCCTTTTTAACCTTATAAAAATTGCAATTTTTAGAGATAGATTGATGCTCCTCTACAATCTATGTTAAATACTAGCACCAAACACATAGACAACATTGATCTTTCTTCAAATCCTCAAATAGACGAACATTGTCCAGATAATATGGCATAATATATAACACATCAATTATATCAGATGTAATTTAAATTAACATATAAGCCTTTACATGTATCAACACCTCAATTATTTTTTGTTTTTTTGCAAATGTAATGTATTTTTAGAAACGTAAACAACCAAAGCAGTTGAGGCATAATTAAAAATGAAAAAAAAATTTAAATTTGCCCCACTTTAAAATAACAATTTTTTTTTTTAAACTGATAAACATGTATTTTGAATCATTAACCAATTAAAATTAAGTTAATTTTAATAGTTACATTTCTTGAAAATTATTAAAATGTACGAAAAGTAAAATAACTAAATGTATTATATTTCAGCTGTTCAATATTGTTCGATATTTTGACAAAAAATGAATAATTGTTATAAGATAAGACATAGGTTAAACACTTAAACGTAATTTATATCATCTTTACTTATAATTAGTAGAACACAACAATAATATTATATCAGGCACGCATCGGTATTATAGTATAGCTTTTGTGTTATCAGTAAATTTATCAGCTGGTAAATTCCAACCATTTAAGTTGAATTTGTGGCACATATTACATATTCCATTTTGTTTTCTGTCGTGGCGCGAATTAGCAAAGTACATTTTTAGAACTAACGAATAATATATGTTATATTTTTATTTGTTGGCACAAATTACATAGGCACTTAAATGTACCTATTATTGGTGCAAAATACTACCTCACAAATTACAAACTCCCGAATGGACACAACGTTTGGACACATATTATAAAAGACACTTTGGGTACAATCAAATTAATAACATATTTACGTAATGAACGAAGGTACTGTTATCCATTAAAAAGCAAAAATATAATATATTTTGATTTTTATAGATTAAGTATAATACACAAAATATTTTAAAAATTGCAAAAAAAAGTTATTGCTAGAAAATTAACTATTATGAGCCAAAATCCACGCGGCATCATCTGGGTAATGCTAATAGGCTCTAAAAAGTAAAACGTAGTATAGAAAAAAAATGTTTGAACAATTTTACCCAAACATGGTTAAAAATATGATTTAAACAAACGCTGTAATCATTTTTAGTCAGAAAAAAATGTGTACCCAATCGTCCTCCTAATATTTTGGTAAAATTATTTTTATAGCCAAACGTATTACAGGTTTACGGGCAATTACTGTACCTATTTACTAACCAGGATAGTAAAATAATTAAAGACAAATGGTAGGATTATGCGTTTAAGAAGAGAAAAAGTTAATAAAAAAATACCTATAGAATAATGAACGACGGATGTTTTTATATCACATTTTATAATTTCTAAAAAAAAAAGTATCGTAATACAATAGTATGTTGATTGTTTAGATTGACGAAATAGTATGCTTATTTGAATGTGCGAAAGTAAATTATTATTATTATAATATTTTATCCGTCAGAGAAAAAAATAAAAAAATTAAACTGCATGAAACTATTTATGGATATACACTCCTTTTGTTTAGATTATTCGTCAAGTTTTTTACACGAACACGTACAGTCTTCGGTCACCGGATAAGGTACTTTAATCCACAGACATCTGAACTTATCGTCCTTTTTTTTACTTTTCCTCTGACGTGCGCCTCTCCTGCCCCTTGCCGCGTGAACTCTCTTCTTGTTGAACTCCAATTCCATAGTTTTTCTTTCCCGATTTTTCCTCTTATTTTTTCTGTTTTTTAACCTAAAATTAATAATCGTTAATAAGATAATGATACACTAAATACATGTGTTGGGTTAGTAAGCGGATTATATTTTATAAATAGATTCTAAAAGACACATCGTACTCTACATTCAAAATTCCATTACATATACGTAGATATTGTGTCAATATTACATATTGTTTATATCATTACAGTTAAAAAACACTACAAATCTATAATTAGGTGTATACATACAGTGGCGTCCGCAGGATTTTTCAATGGGGGGGGGGGGGGCTTGAAAATAAGTCACAATTTAATTTTTGTTTTGTCCAGTCTAATAATTGCAGACGTTTATTATTTGGGGTATTTTAAAATATTTGTAACTTTTCAACTCTTCTGGTAGAAAAAATCCTCTGATCATAAGCTTTGATGCCCAGTGTAATAGTGTATGTTTTTGGAAGCAAATTGGATCTAGTTAGTACTTTTAGGAGGTCGAAATTGAAAATTCTTAGTGCTTTTAAAAATAATTGGAGAAAAAAAAATGAAAATTTATTTAAATTGTTTGGTAACAAGCTTGGTTATACCGTCTTAACTTGGATTGTATTTGATTAATTAAAATTTTTTTTCTTTAAATGTCAATAAAAAATTATTTATCCGGTCAATAAAAGCTTAAAAATGTAATACATAGTTTTTTTATTATAGCTAAAATAATAACAATACATAGGCATCATCAGGCCCGTAGCCAGACCAAATTTTCAGGAGGGGCAAAGCAAATTTTTGGGGGGGCATTATATATAAATGTATTAAATATTAATGCGATTTTTAATTTATTTACATTGATATCCCATTAAATTAACACAACTATAATTTTCTATCTAATAGTAATAATAATAATAATAATCCATTTATAATAGAATATTTTGGGAATTTACAATGAAACATTTGTTTTAAAGTTACAAAACGAATAATACTAAATAATAAAAATAAAACTTATATTAAAGTTTACATAGATAATTATAATATTCATCATATTCACTGATGTTACGTGGTTAAATTTTGAACATTTTAATATTAATTAATACAGCTTCAATTTTCTATTATTCTGCTTGTTGAAGTTCGTTAATAATAGGTCCATGTTTAAGTTTTCTGTCCGTTTGGACTCAAATGCCAATAAAGTTAAGTTGGAAAGCCGGTTATGTGACATTGATTGCCTTTGAGGATTGTCAACTCTGTTTAAGCAGGAAACTGCAATTCACTGCAATTCACAAACTGCTGAGCTACATCCAAATACTTCAACTGCTGCTATCATTTCATATGTAGCTTTAAATGCTTTACGTTGTTGATAAAGCTCTAAAAAAATGTTCTTATTAGATATATTATTTTCTTTTAAATAATTTTTTACACAAATTATTTCTTCTTTTGAAGGAATATTAATTTTAAGATCATTAAATATTTTAAAATCATCGTAATTCAATTCGTATATGTTAGAAACCGCTTTAATAAGTTCATCATTTTTTTCAAAATGAGTTTCCATCTCAGATTTAATTATATCAATAACTTCATAAAATGTAGATAATAATGAAATATTAATATCGTCGTTGACATAATTTGTATAAGTACCAGATGATTCACTTAAAATATATTCATTCAATTTTATAGTAGTCTTTCTCTTGCGTTTTGGAGATTCAGTTTCGGTTTCAGGTAATAAATTTTCACAGTCTTTTAAAATTGCATTGAACACTTCTTCATTTCTTGATTGTTTTAAACTATTAATCACGCTATGAATAATTGGAATTACTAAGGTTAAACCAGTTTCCTTAATACGGCTAAAAAAACTTTTTTGATCTATTCTATTACCGATGAAAGTGTTATTAGCAATAAAATACATACCTACCTAAAAGTCTTTCTAATATTTTTTAGGGGGGGCAATGACTGGGTTTAGGGGGGGCAATGCCCCCCCTTGCCCCCCCGTGGTTACGGGCCTGGGCATCATGGTTATTTTTTATAATCATTTAAAGTTAAAATGTCGTCAAAACCACGGTTAATTTGTAGTTCAAAACTTATAAAATATAAAATATGTATATCTAAGGCTAGACAATTTAATACAAGGTCTTTCATACAAGTAGTTCATACTTTTACCGAAAAATTACAGATAATTTATGAAAATTGGTATGCAAATACAATGTTTTTTCAAAAATGAATTCATTCTGGTAAGACATGTATGAGATTTACTATAGTTGACAGTTTAAACTTGATTAATATTTTTTTGAAAAAGTAGTAATAATACGGGCAATGGGGGGGCTTCAGCCCGTTAGCCACTCCCCTGCGGACGCCACTGTGTACACATTTACACATAATATTTATTAATGATTTAATATAATGATGTAGAATATATTATACGAACATAATATGTAAAATTATGATCGATCTCTTTGTTCCCGCGAAGTCATGAGAGCATTTAAAAACATTCTTCAACAAACCTTTTTTTTCAACAATGTCATATCATACAATACATATATATTATTGTATAGGTTTTGAGCACTTGAATCAATACGATTTTGAAAAAAAATATGTTTTATTTAAAAAAAAAAATTTATGAATATCGCAAAAATCGACATAGGTAACCAAACCTATATATACCTATATATATATTATAGATAATACTGCGATTTAGGTAATATCAAACTTTAGACTTATACGACTTCACTCGTATCTTAACTAACTCACCAACAATGCCACCGCAACAGGTTGAGTACTCTGATGGACGAAGGCATGCATGACATACCCGGCGGCCAACTGCAGCTCATCGTTTCCGAACGACCGCATCGACCCTTTTTTATCCACCTGGGCCAAAACGACTTGCCCAGGTCTGCCCACTCGTATTCGACAGGACACTTGCTCCGGTGCACCAACCACGTGTGCATCATCTCATGGTACTGTACCGGAAGTCGTTCCGGAAGCTGTAGGTTGTCCGGTCCAGTCGTCTCCAATGACTTGACGCCGGCAGCGCCCGACGTGTTACCACGGTTTGCCTGTATATCGAAAATCATGGTATTGTAATTTAAAGTTTAGAGACATCGAACGGCCGAACTAAATATCGAAAGACGAACAATCCAAAGAAACAAAGGTGGGCAATATTTAATGAAAAAAATTAACATGAATTCGTTAAGTTAAAAATAAATAATTAACAGATAATAAATTTAACTCTCCAAGTTTAAAAATAACAGGAAAATACAACCTAGTTTAAAAAAGTTTTAACTTAACGCAAACTTATTAACTACATATAGTTTATGCCCTTCTTTGTATAGAATATAATATAGATCGCCGGTTTTCGTTTGCACATTACTATTGTTAATTTTAAACCTTTTCGTAAGACAGTTGAGCATTGTTCGATTTTTGGTCATACATAATTTGCGCATCGACCGTTTAAAAGGTCGTACATAATTTGCGCATAAATATTATTTAACTAGATAACTGAAAAAAGGTATACATAATATAAAAATCGCAAGTTGTTTTCTAAATGTCTAATGGTGTATTATATAATTTACAACGGACTTGACGTCAAACTTGACTATAAAATAAATACAACTTTTTACTAATAAAAAATATAATTTCGAAATTTTTATGAGTTTTGTCAAAATTTGAACTTTAAATGTTTATTTAACAAATACTTGTTGCTATGTATCATTATTATTTTTAAACTTAAAAATCTTTATTATTCATTATCTATATAATATTTGTATAATTAAGACTATAATTAAATTGCATTAATGCAATTTATTTTTAATTGTTTGTATCTATTTATTACATAGTATGATATATTATGACAATCATTGGATTTTCAATCAAAAATTATTTTATATACCCTTCTATTATTTTGCGTATTGATGCGCAAATGATATATGGACATATAGATGATCACTTAATTGAATTCGGTACGTCCGGAAAGGGACAAACTGTGGAGGGGTGGCGTGGAATTGGGGAGTGAAAACCCCTCCCAGCCAGTAATATTTTCAGTTGCCATTCAACACTCGGTAAATTCTTTCGAAATGTAAAGATTAAGAGGACGCTACACGGCCATTTGTTGTCTTCGTCTTAAAAGTGCGTAACATAGCAAATGTACACCCAGGAGAATGCGTTTAGCTCCGTTGGTTTAAAAATTAGAGTGAATCGACTTATCATGAAACTTGATGGTAAGTACATTATTTGTAGGGTTTTTACTATAGCTCAATTTTTTATTAAGTTATGCGTATATAATACAGCGTAAATTAAAAATTCTTATAGCTCACTTAAATACTGAATTATCGTCAAATACCCACGTACAATCACAGATAATGTTCTTACCATCTGGCATCAACTTTCATAATAAGTAGGATTCACTCTAATTTTTAAACTAACTGGGTTAAATATTATCTGTTCAGCGTAAATTGTCTACGTTATGCACTTGTAAGACGGAGACAGCAAATATCTATGTAGCATCTTCTTAAGGATTTAAAAATCTAGTTGACTGCAATTTCGAAGACTACACTCTGTGAATTTTTTTTAGGGTCATCCCTGCTTCTGTACCAAACCAATTTTATACTCAGTACCCATATTTAGTATTTAACTGTAAGTAAGTAACCTATATAAACCCTTTAAAGTACCTATTTACCTATATCTAATCATAATTTACAAAAACCTAAGACGCTTTTCGGAGCTTTTACAAGTTATGGTGGCATTAAATCACAGGTATGATTAAAGATTATGTGCATTTTTTTTTAACGTGTCACATCAAGTTGTAACATAAGAAGTTAGGTATGTATATTCTTTCAAGCTTAAATAATAGAGCTTCACTTGTAAACTTCGATGTATGAATCGAATCATTCTTTAAGGTCAATATTTTAATTCTCAGTAGTGGTGGTAGTATTCATAGAATTAGAAACGGAGAACGGACTATCACAATTTTATCTACTTTACCAATAATCAACACTATATCTGACTGTGGTATTATAACAGAGTATATTAAATTATAATATTGTATTCGGTTTATATAGGTACATTAACGATTAACATAATAATATGTATACCTACGATATTATAATAGTACTATTACAATGTTTAAATAATTCTACGTTATTTTTTAGTTCTTATCTGTTCAATATCATTTATATTAGCTTAAAATATCGATGTGTTTGGTAGTTTGGTGAATTGAATCATCATCGGAAGTCGTTACACGCAGGAAACGAGTACCGTAAAATCGTCAGAAATAATTCTTTGATTAAAATGTCGATAATACGTTGACGATACATTGCGCTCCGTTCACACGATCATAGCCATTATGGCTATTACACTGCAGGCTGTAGAATCTAATAAAAAAACAAAATAATATGTTTGGTAACCTCTTTTGGTCCTACTGATTGTGACATTATAATAAGCAGTGGTGAGCCTACTGATTTAATCGACTAGATCATTGTAGCAAACCCATGTTCATGGGTATAGTACGTACTATAATCAGCAGTACCAGAATTTCGATAGGTGAAATTCGTTATTCTGTGGGTGCTCTAGGACAATGCACTCTGTAAATAAGTACCTAATTAGTTTCACACTTATACCTAACATATGTTAGTCACAATTTAAGGAATGAAAATATTGTCAGTTAGTAAGATCTCGTCAAAAAAAACAAAATTGATTTTAAATTGTATATTTAAGGGTCATCGTAAACAAACTTTCATTACAGTTGAGATTGATTTAAACAAAAGTGATCGGTTTTAGTTGAATGTATATATTATATTGCAAATTGTAACTATATGTAACCGTGACAAAATCAAATACAACCCACTCTAACTTGGTCAATTTTTCATAACTACATTTTGAACATGCGTTTTTATAAAATGTTTGTAAAAACAAGATCCAAACAATAATAATTCTTTCCAACATTTAAAAAATTATATTTCACGGACTTGGAATCGAAGAGTTCTATATCAAAAAATTTCAAAAATGTTTTTTTATCTGTTCAGTCAAGAATTATTTTACTCTATTTTGAAATCTTAGAAAAAATTTTATCGATCCCATGTTTAAAAAGTTACCAGAAAAAAAGGTTCTATGTGACCCTTATAAAAACAATGTGTTGGATACATCGATAGAACATTTTGTTTTAAAATTTATATTTAAATCAAAAAGTGTTATCTAATAAACTTTATTTGTTGTTATTTATAAAAATTGGAGCATTTCACACGCCAAAGTACTAAAATACCTATAATAATGCACAAAAAAAAAAAAAACATAGATAAAATTATGTTAGAAGAAATCTATTAATTTGTAATCAATATGTTCTATCGATTAAACGTTTATTTCTAAAAAGTAGAATTGGGAACAAAATGTTCTATCAGTAGAACCTTTTGTTTCAAAGCCCGCGATTTCACACTTATGTATTTTTATTTTTTTTAAACTTAATAGCTATTCAATCGGGATTTTCTTATCAAGCGTTGCTAATAAATAAATAATTTTCATATATTTACTATTTTTAGGTTTGGGGTTAGTCTTGTTACAAAATGTATATAATATACATATACTATAGAGACTGAAAACCTTATTATTAGACTAAAAAATAGTTTGTCGAACTCTGTTTCGGACGATAGTAATTGATGCGGTAGTTATATGCAAATACGTTTTGTTTTTTTTTTTTTACGTCATACACGTACACCTGGTGTCAAACTATTACGGTGAAAACCATTACGGCGATCATATAGTATTATAATTTACGAACAGATGGGTTTGGTGTTGTTATTTTTTTACCGAACAAATCCGACCGGAAAAATCAGACGGATCCGTTGAGATATTATCTGTGGAAAGTGTATACTATTATGTATATAGGGACGCTGCGAGTACGTTAAACGAAACAATAAAACCAGACATAAAATCAATATCTTTAAATCTTCGACAAGAAGCTAAAACGGATGTATTATTTTACATTTACGGTACGCTGAAATATCAGAGTTGTGTTCACGTGGGCACTCCCCACGCTAGGATACGCGTCTACTTATTTGGTTTGTTGGTATGAAAATAAAATAAGACATCAATTTTCGTAATAAATAAATAATTGTATAGAAATTTAAATTTAAATTGCTAATAATTCACAAAAGATTACGCTTTATTTTTCCTGCATAATATGTGTCATACGCCGTGACCGAGAATATCCAATAGTGCATTATCATACCACTGCTCAAACAGCCGACGGACTCGATGGCGAGTGAGGGAGGGGGCGAAGGTGCTAACGAGACAGCCCAACGTGTAATCGTATGAGCATTTTTAAAAAATTATTTTCGAAAGAAACAAAACAGGTAATGGACACTCGTTTTTATGACAATTCTGTAAATCGTAATCGAACGATGCGTAACGCATCGTTATTCCTACACGTCGTGTAGAACTCTGCAGCGGTACACACACGATGACTGTGCAGTGTAATAGGAATTATTTTTTTACAGAAATAGGTTGGTCGTACACTGCAGACATAAGTATTATTGTTAAAATAAAACTTGACGGAATTTGACTGCTTTTTGTGCTAAAAAAACATGTTTTCACTCCAACCTACAGGATACTGATATCGATTTCTCATTACGCGATATGGATTTTGAAAACAAGTTTGAATCCCTCGTTTTGTTTCTTTTAGATGGTGCTAACAGGTTTTCAACAAAATTTGTTATAACAAGTGTCAAAATGTTTAGCTCACAAATTTTTTTATATCCCGCAAAACCAATAACTCTTTTACACTTAAAAAAAACTAAATAATAAATCTAAAGTAAGTAATATATTATTGTATAGTATATTAGGTATTTATTATATGGTTTATGAAGTTCAAATCCTTTTTCATGATTAAAGGTGTTTAATTTCGACGCTTAAGCTTGGACATTTAATAAATGATTCCTCATGAATTAATGCGTAACTGGAATCAAAAAATAAAGAAAAATAAATTTTTCGTAAATTATAAAGCCTCGCACGATAATAATAGAATAATAATATTAATATATGAACCTATTATGGGTGGGAATTATGCGCACATTCAACAACAGGTGGTGATTATTCGCCGTCCCTAAAAACCGACGGGTGGCATTTGATCTATAGATTCGCAGATAAAAATAAATAGTTCAGAGACATGTAATGACGAGGGAACTGCTGGGTTGGGTTCGGGGGTGTTTGGATATTGGGGATGAAAATTCAATACGACCCGCTCGTAACGGATCTTTTGGAGAGTTTTGAGAAATGCTTTACATCGCCGGTATGCATGTCATACAGGTGGTGGCTGTAGTGGTACCTATAAAATATATGTATTATTATATTATGAAGACGCGTACTACACGTTTCTAAAATATTGTAACACAATATAATATATAGCATAATGGCTGTTTCAGGTACATATACATACATAATAATATTATAGAGGACGTGTGTGTGTATTATATACAGGCATAATGTATAGAAGTTGTAGTAGGTGTAAGCGTTATTCTCGACACGAGATTATGGCACGTACCTACTTCCCATAATATTACTACCTATATTATAATAATATAATGCTGTACGTATATACGACGACAAAAGATTTGATCATTTAACAGACACGTTTGGAAACGTGAAAAAAACTTAAACACCTACCTACATAATGTATATACGAACGACAGGCTCGGCGAGTATACCTATAATATAATAATAATAATAATAATATACAGGGTGGTTCCTCGAACTTGCTTGCACCCCCGTGTTTTCTTCAGTCAAGCAGTCACTCAAAATCTGAATATGTACCTTTTCGAATTCTTGAGATTTTTCGTACTGTATCTACCATTGAAGATTATCTTGTAGAAATACAAATTGTTCTAATATGAACCTCCCTTTTCCACAGTAAACTATTTAGCTGATATTATTTTTTCTGAAAATGTTGGAGGAATTCGAACGAGTAGTTGTTGAGTCGCTCAGCTTCTTGTACTTAGAATAATAGATCCATGATAACGGATTTGAAGGACAATAATAATATATTCCATATGGGTTATTTTTTATCATTTAAAAAAAAAAAAAACTAGTAATTAATGTTAATGCATCAGCATTTATAATTAGTGAGAATGGTCCCAGTATAATAAATAGTAGATCAAATATTGTATCTATTTTATGTTGTATTAGCTAAACCATTTTCATGGACTATTATCCTTAGTATAAACATTTTAATAGCTCAGAAACTACTAGTTCGATTAAAGAATTAGGTCCATCGAAATTGTTTATGGAAAAAACATCCACTAAATAGTAAAAGAACCTCCTTATTGTTCTCGTTTGAAAAATAGAAGTTTGTATCATGCCACTCTTTAATAAGTAGTACAAAAAAATATTAATAACTTGATAATGATATGGAATTTAAGTACCTTTGGATTTAAATAAGTATAAATAATATATTTTTGAATTTGAATAAGCCCGTAAACAAATCCACGAAACAATGGGGATGTACATGCTCGGTGAATCACCTTGTATATTATTAAAGTGATGGGATTATACGTAAAATAGAATTTGTGTTTTAACGGTCTGATGCTCATAGATATCATATTATATATCGGTAACTATAGGTATGGTATCGGAAAACCACAGTACGTATTATATGGACATCGTTTCGATGTGGATCGTTTAAGACATCCATGTCTGTTCACATATTATTGTAAAGTCGATGTCAACGTCGTGAGATTAACTCAATATAAAAATAATTTATTATTAAAACATCGTAGTTAATATAATATTGAATTACGTCATTCTGATGCACAAAAAAAAAAATAGAACCGAAATTGAATTTGTTATAAACGTTTGAGTTCATGGTTTATCTCACCGATCGTTGGTTTTGGTATAAGTCTGAATAGGTATCGTACGAATAAGATATTATATCGAATAAAAACAAATGCTACCTCACAAATTCTTCGTATCTAAAAATACTGGTAATATAAATTTACATTACATATTATTATACAACCTATTATATAATATCTAAACCTCGACTTCAGGTATATATTTTCGGAATTTGTACATTATTAGTCATTATAAATAGGTAAAAAAAGTGCATATTTTAATATGAAATTAACTTGATTCCTGAGTTCTAGCGTATTGCATTATTTCAGGAAGTGTAGGTTAGGTTACGTATTTTAGGTTCCAAGTGGAGCGATAATGAATGATTCTACAACAATGTGGGTATTTTGTTATGTTTGTGTATGTATACACAATTTATAATTAGAAAAAATTCTTGAATCTTCAACTTTAAGGGTTTTGTTGGAAAATTGTTTGTTCCATCATAAAGTTTAAATATTTAATTTAATACAAGATTCTTCATAAGTTGTCTGTTTTAATAACTATACATACTTAAAAATAATTAAAATATATAGACAAGTTTTTTTGGAAGTATTTTTGACAAAATTCGTCAAACTTACGAACATTTTCTAATTATTTCGTAGTTAAAAATACTCTTAATGTTCAATTTGTATAGCCAATGCTTAAAAATGAAATACGAAATTCCTCATAACACTACTGATCATACTGAAACCAAAAAAATCTAAATATATGAGCATAATTTTTATTTTCATGGATACTTTAAGTTCAAATTTGTACGAAATTAGATATTTAAATGAGTTAATAACGAATAATTAGTTATATTATCGTAATTCAAAAATATTATTCGCAGGGTCTTGTCAATTTTACGAACCTATATTGTTATATTTCATACGATGGCATTTTCAAACTGAATGTTTTCAATAAACATTAATACAACCTACCCTATTAGTTATTACTAATAATAAAATAAATTACCTTAAAAGCGGGCAAGTGGATGTCACTCTGTTGTACAGTAGGTCACAAGTGGGTCACTGTATAATGGATTGTATTAAATTTGAACTCAATGATATCATATCATTGTATAGACGAAAAACAATTTTGAGCGGATACGGTTTGTCAGTCTGGATATTCTATATTGTTATTATATTTTATTATAGCCTGTAAGTTGAATTACTATTATAAATTACAACCAAAATAACTAAGGTCGCTGTTTTTTTTTTTATTCGTTTGTATGGTGAAAAACAAAGCATTAGAAATTAAAATCCCATTTTTAGCGTTTTTTTATAGTTATTGTCAGTGGTTTTTCCTGTGGCATTAAATAAATACTAAGTAAATCGAAAAATGACCTCTTTTAAGTACCATCTTGATCCAATTTGCTAAATTATAAGATACTAAATGTTGAAATGGAAGTATTCTTTCCGGTGGAAATTTTGTATACAGGATAAAAAAGAAACAATATTGTAAAACCTTAGATTCTGAGCGAAGCGAGGAATCTAAAAGCAATATAATTAATAGAATATCTTAAAATATATTATATAAAATACTTAGTGATATTATAGGCAAACAGACCGATTCTTCTCTCAAAATCGTTTTTCATACGCAATGTATTATCACTGAATTCAAATTTAACACTTACAGTGAATATTATTCAATGAAGAGATACACTCGACACCTACAATTGCAGTACAGCTGCAGAATGGTTACCAACATTTCACTCTTTTTTAAAAATGTTTATTTCATTACTCGATGGTTTTTTTTCGACGTTTTATAAGAATATGTTTTTTTACGAAATGCATTTCTTAGATGCATCTTTTACTGTAAATGTTTAAATCTTTTTTAGAACAATTACATCCACGCCCTATTTTTATTAGTTGTGACTATATATATTTTACTCATTATACCAAACGTCCCAATCTGATTTGATCTGTTGAATCGATATTGAAATATTGCGTAGGTACCGAACGATGATGCATACCAAAACCATATATTATAGTCATGATCGTTCGTAGTGCTATGAATATACAATATACATTATATTACACTTAATTTACACAGTCTTCGCAGTAAACATATAACATATTAAATATTATAAAATATTTAAACTTTTTTAAAAATACGCTTATTCTCGCAAACATTTCTGCTCGCGATCATCGTAAACGGACGTTTCGTCTGCGGCAATGAAGATTGGTTATTTGATCGCAGAGAGTCGCATGGTTTTATAAATCGTTATGTTTAATGAACTTCATAGTATTAATAATATTAATTTTGAAAATTAATTCAATTTTTGATTTAATTTAATTTTTGTACTGTAGTATAATGACCATAATATTTACAAATAGATAAAATTACAAATAAATTAATATTAAAAAACTCACGTCCCACAAATGTGCATTTAAATTTTACGTCAGCTCATAATACTGTTTTTAAATAATATAAAATATCTTTATCATTATTATACTTAATATATTATGCACAGAATAAAACATGCATTTTCTTTTCTTACCTAATTAATTTCTCAAAGAATTATAATAATATGCTTATGGTACATTATATCTTATTGTTTCGTTTTTTTTTCATATCAATCAATATAATTTAATTAACTAATATCGAATTGATTTCTTAACTCGATGTTTTTACCGGTGAAATCTTACTGAATATAAATAATATAATAATTAAAAAAATAATGAATAAAAAAATCAGGGGGATAAACCTCTCGTGGCTCTATAATAACACCCGGGAGCCAAACATCGTATATGAATATTATTTTCGGGGTACTGAAAGTTCATAATATTATATAGATCCCACGATTGTATAGCCAAACACTGGCTTTCGATTCGGAAACATCGACGATGTCTACAGAAATAAAGTCGCGTACAACCGTGTAGCGAATATAGCTGATAGGTACCTATAATGATAATATGTAATATTCAAACCATTCTTTTCGGGCTTAACGTGAAGGTAGATGGAGAATAGCATTACCGTCGACCTTACCGTTATTACGATTGCCGTTTTGCTCATCCACATTTCGTTGTAATCGGCTCCGATGAGTCGGTTGAGCTTGTCGACTTTCATGTCCTTCTTGCGGGGCAGACCTGGTTCGGCACGGAACCATACGCTGAACGATCCGTCGCTCGTCTTCTTGGCTGGCGAGTTGATCGCGACCGAGTGCTGTAGCAGCTGCTCGCAGACAGAGGCCAGGACGATGATCAGTACGACTCCGACGTTGAAGGAAAGCCGCATGATAACGTCTTGTCGGCGTCTCTCCTCTGTACTTGTTGCGCAGCACGACACACCGTCTATAATATTTCGTGAACATAGAGAAAATAATAATTAATTATATGAAAACAGTAATAATATAACTAAAATTATTTCTGAAATGGCATATTTTGTGGAGACGGACGTCGTATATACATAATATTATAATGTACGACGTGCATAATGATGTAGTTGTCATCAACTGTTGTAACAAAGATAAATTGCCTCAGCCATGGTTTAGTAGAATTGTTGAAGATTTTTGATTAGTTTTCAAAATCAAGTCTCACAGTTTTGTCTGCCTTTGGGAATGTTTTACGTGATTATTAATTGTACCGTATCGTCGTCTCCAGCCCACTTCAGAAGACGTTGTACCGTATTACCGTAATCTCCGTCGTCCTACTAACGCACAATATACCAAAATGTACGTCCATTTCTAATTTTGTGTGGTTGGCTTTAGAGTGAACTGACATATTATCAAACTTAAATGTAACAACATTATCTGTGTTCTGTCTTCGGTCTTTTATGATGTTTTAATTATTAAGTGAATTATGAGCATTTTCAAGGCTGGGCATTAACGAGTTAAAAGTTAAAATTAAGTTAAAACGTTAAGTTAATTTTAATTAAGTTAATTAACTCGTTACTTTATTCTTCAAATTAACTTTTAACTTAATAAGTTACTTTTTTTCAAGATTAACGTGTTAACTTCAAGTTAATTTTATTTCAAAAATATCTAAATTAAGTTAATTTTTGTCCGAAGAATAATGAAAATTTTAGAATGTGTTTTTACTTTGATGTATCATTTTGAATTTCCCCAGTAATTTTCTTGAACGTAACGAAAAACTATCTAAAAAACCATGTTATGTGTCCGGATTTTTTTATTTTTGTACATTAGCAAATTTTAACTTTACACTAAGTTAAGTTACTTTTTTTTCAAAGTTAATTTTAACTTAACGAGTTAACGAAAAAAAATACGAGTAACTTTTAACTTAACTTAACTTAATTATTTGAAAATAACTTAACTTAACGAGTTAAAAAAAATCGTTAACTTGCCCAGCCTTGAGCATTTTTAATATTGGCATTTTACATATTATTATAGTCATACCTTATTATAGTCTTACAAAATTAATATATCGTAAAAAATAAAAATCTAACGACAGAACATAGATAATATACTCTGACATTTAACTATTGAATAATATGTAAATTCTCTCTAATATATAAGCTAACCAGTAACCACACAAAATGGGGACTTTGGAACGTAAATTATTTTGGTTATTTGGTAGTTGTGCGGTAGTAAGTCGGACAATACAATATACACTAGGGTACAACGTCGCTCTCAGTCTCGAGTCGATCATCATAATATCGTCGTCAGATTGCGTCATCCTGCTATTATAATGATAATATGCTCGTGAGCCTCGAAGGAACGATATGTCATTGGGGACGCTCGTGACAAAGGCATTATAATATATTACAACATTTTGTGTGATGTATAATATAATAAATTATCACAATGAGAGGTCAGGGCGTCGGGTAAAAGAGAATAGTTTGAAATTGTTATGTAAATGTGGGGGTGACTATATACGTGCCAGTGGAATAATGTGTGCCGAGAAAAATATATTGTATAGTGTCGGTCTCAGATAGGTGGTGTGTGAGAGTGAGTGGGAGGGAGAGGGATAAAGTGTTTGTGTGTGAGAGAAAGAGAGAGGTAACCAAAGGGGGCAGAAGAATAATAATACCGAGGAATGCGGGTTAACAGCGCCGCCGCCGTTGTACGACGATGGGTCGTCGTTGTCGTCGTAGTAGCGCAGATCCAACAGAAAAAAATACCGACCCCCGTAAAAGAACATAATAGTGTCGTGTAAAATAATAACGTGTTACTTAGTCGGAAATGGTGAGTGCGTTTTTTTCCCCGAAATATTTTTCAAACCATTCGAATGGTTATCGCCAGACCACCCGACGCCGCCGACGACGTAGCGCATTTTAAAATATATAATATTGTATTATGATTTTTATTATTTTTTCTCTCAAATGCTCAGAACTGTTAGGAGAGGAATTACTTGAAAATTTGAAAAATAAAAAAACAGTTATCGCAAGAAAAGTCCCACGTATTGTGGGTTGGACAGTGGTTATAATATATAGGGACATGAAGAATTAAATATTTTAAATATCCTTGCAGGACCACCCCTATTTTATCGTGTGTGACGTAGACGTTCTATGACTAAAGCATCATCATTGGGGGGGGGGGGAGAGAAGGAGTTTGTTAACTATGTGGAATTTTCACCCGTTTAGTTTTAAAAGCAACCCTGTTGTTAAATGGGTGTATCTTAAAAAATGATTGTCTCTTATATAGGGCGTAGACCGTTTGAGCGAATCGACCCTAAATGTGGTGAATAGTTATATGCCGATTGTGCAAGTGTTTATTCAACAAAAAATACCGTTTGTGTGAATAAGTATGAATAGGTTCATAGGAAATTAATTAACATATTGAAATATAAAGTCACACGCAAAATACGTCATATTATAAATAATTAATAATGAAATCTTAATTTTAAAAAGAGTAACTTTGTAATATACATATTAGAAATAATTAATAATGAACCATATTTTTAAAAACGTTCGCATTAAAGTCACCAGCTCTTTACGAAGGTAAATATAATTTCATTCGCCTAAACGGACTAATAATAATATTGTTTGGTCAAAATTATTACCTTACCCCAAACGATCAACGCTGTTTCAATATTAGGACTTTGGTAAATAGGAATAATAAAAATAATAATATTACCGGACGTCTTGTCTGCACGTAATGATAATTCGGTAATTTATAATTTAATAACGTATACAATTGTACGTTGTTGTCATTCGGACGGCGCTATAATAATATGTACGCGAATTATTTGGAATTTGTTCATGCTCTATAGAGATATACCTGATGAGAGATACCTGTGGATAGTGAGAGCTACAGAATAAACGACTTGGAGTAAACGAGCTGTAAAACGAAACGGATAAAAAAAAAATCGTCTCTGATTCGTTAGGAAGACGACGATGGCATTTGCATTTTTCTTCTCGTGTGAAAATAAAATTACACTCCAGCCATTATTAAATACCTACGTACAAAATAATATTACTCGTATGTTTGTCTCCTTAAACAAAAATAATTTCGAGAATATGGAAAAAAAACTGAGCCAATATATTATTATTAATATACAGGATGATTCACCAGACATAATTACCATTATTTTTTTCTTTAACAAATAACAATGAAATTATTGAAATCTTGATTTTTAGAATTTTTAATTATGCTCAAAGACCATTTTTTCAAATAATTGAATTTTTTATACTACTTATACGGTATACAAGGACTGTCGCTGGTGCAATACAAACTACTGTTTTTCAAATAAGAAACCTCTCGTTTAATGTAAATTATTTAGTGAATAATAATATATTTGAAAATATTGATACTTAATTTAAAATTCTCGACTTTATCGATTGTTAAAATGTTTATATGTACTACCTAACGATAAAATAGTCATTAAAAATGATCTTTCAAAAATATCAAATCGATGTAATATTGGATCTACCTAGTGTTTATTATACTTGGACTATTGACCACTGTCCATTGTTACAAATTATAAATGTGCACTGGATGGATTGATATAAATTACTAACATTTTCAAATCGCCATAACCCACACATTATATTCCGAACCCATTTTAATAAACATATTATACTTAGTACACAAAATTAAATGACTCAAAAACGACTTTACGTATTTTTGATTTTGATGATGCAAAATGATCAGCTAAATAATTCACAGTATAAAGGAGTAAGGCGAGGGGTTCTCATTAATTGAAACAAAGAAGTTTGTATCTCCACAGAATAAAACTTGAGAATCTAGTAAAAAAAATCTCAAAAGTATAGGCATTTAGTATTGGTATTTAAAAATTCCAAAAATTAAAATTGAAAAATCTGAGCAATACTGAATAAAAAAAGAAAGGGGGTGAGCATGGTCGATGAAACACCCTGTATAAATGCGAGTATTTATATTATTATAATATGTGGTGTCTAAATACCGGTCGACTGCCGCAGCAGATGGGTCAAAAGTCTGCGGTCCTATACCTATAGATGTACATAATATAATATAACTGTACAATAGGAGAGACGTTGAGATTTTTTTTAACCATACACGAACGCCTATCGTTTACCGCATCTGGCAAATACTCCGATAAATACTTCGAAATTCTATTTATTTTTTTTCCTTTCGTTTCGGCGTTTTTCGGTCTGTTTGTTTGGGGAGATTTTTTTAAACGAATAAATGTAAAATGTAAATGCATAAAAAAATATATATTATATTATACGCGCGTACAGTATATAGGTGGTACGCGTCTAAATTCTTTACGCGACGGCCGGCTGCGAGTCACAACAATAATGGGTAAAAAAATACCAAAACTCGTGACTCACCGCGCGCCTATATATCATATTATTATCTTATTATATTATTATGTATACAACGAATAGCCAATACGATCTGACCAAATACGTATTGTACTTTTAAAACATCCCGCCGCCTAATTATGCGTATTATTTAATAATTTTATATCACATGAAGTGCCGTGGTCGTGAGTCGTCAAGAGTCGTGTAATATTACAACGTGATTTGTATATTGTTATATTGTGCCGGACCGCCAACACTTGTGTTATAGTGGCGACCTATAATAGTACCTATGGGCTACGACTATATTATAGGTATTCCCGAGTCATAAGTGCACTTTCAAATTTGGAAACGATGTGCTTAGACTATACGTAAGTACTCGTCATTAAACAGTATAATATAGGTAATTAAAATTGTCATGCCATGACGTGATATAAATTAATACGGCGCCAAGCGATTTAAAATACGAGTACCTACGTAAAAACAATATTTAAAACTTCACTTATGGTACGACGAGTGCGTCCTGAACAGTTTTTAAGTGGGTATTGGCCACGACAGCTATAATATTATGAACACATTTAAAAACATCTCTTTCGTATGGTTTTGAGTATTATAGTTTTGACCTATTCGTATTAAAACACTTAGAAATATCTGATTTGACTTCAGCTTCAGCTGTAAACGTGTAAGCAAAACAAGTCCAATACATTTCAGATTTGCTTATACCTACAGTAGTAACTAGCTAGATTTTGTTTTTTTTTGGTTGGGGGGGGAGACTTATCTCCTCCAATTTTAGCCGAGATATGCCATTCTTGCTCTTTTCGTTCCTATAACTCAACGTGTGTCAATTATCATTATAATAATTTAGGTGCCAAACTCATTGCTCCAACTAAGGGTATAAAAGGTGAGACAGAGACTGTTTTTTAAAAATAAATAAATAAATACTAATGCGTTTACCATTCTAATTATATCCTTATAATTCTGTACCCGAATCAATTAGAAATTTAAATATTTATATTTATTTTAACTTGTGCACCACTCCGCTCCACTAATACTGTACACTGTCAACGGCAGGTACCCAATTTATTTTATAAATAAAATGCCAAGTATAACGGAAAAAATTGTTTTGTTCTTACGGTGGCGATTGACTTTTTTTCCTCAGATTTTTTTAGTCAAACTGCCTTCTTATTATGTAACTATTATAAAATGTCACCAACGGCTAAGGATGCCAACCGACGGTTTCGATATAATTGTTCACGATAATCCGTATAGTATGATATTTTATCAATATCGTGAGTGTCCGACACACACACATTTGCATAATATTATATTGACAGTCTTTTGAAAATACTAAATTTTTGTACCCGTCGCAACACAATAATTTACTGCATTATGTTATATTTTCTGCGACCACACGTTAAGTGCCGATCTGACCTCGGGCGTCGTAAATCGTAAAAAATCGAATTCATAGACTGTGGTGAGCGTAGGGATTATATAGTTTTTTTCCCGTGGAAACGAGATATTTGGTGAACCGTTTTAATGAGCACAGGTGTCATGGTAAAAAAAACAGTGCATGGATATGGATACGCCGTAAAATCTAAAATGGTTTTCGAAATGCCAGTTTTGACAAAATCTCGGTGATGATTTCACAGTAAAGCGACCATATAGATTATAACAGGTGTCACCAAAATAATATTTTTAAAGGGCCACAACAGACATTTTGAAATTGTTCTCGGACCATCAAAGTTGCTGACGTCAATAAAAACCAATGGACAAAAATGATTTATTACAACATTACAACGTATAATATTAACGGTTTTGACTTTTTATTCTTGTCTGTAGGTCGGATAAAATTTGTCCATGGGCCGCCATTTGGTGACCCATGGGTTATAACATTATATTTACACAAATCAAAAATCCCTCGAATTCCTAATCACATTACATTATTATTATAGTGACGCAGTAGTTCAACATTTGAGATTTTTAAATAAAAATGAAACATAATATGTGACTGCCTTTACAGTGATTCGGATTCGACATGTCGTTGCAAGCATAATCCCTGGAGGCTTCATTTTAACAATGCATATTATATGATTTTGTGTTTGATATAATACTTCTTTTTTCAGACCACATTTTCCCTCATCATTACAGTTTCCGTGCGGTAACCAAATAATAATAAAAATTAAATGAATGTTATATATTACGTTGTAGTTTAGCGTTATAGCACCCAGGCACGTACACAGAATAAAATTTCGGGGGGGGGGGGGGGGGGGTTACAAAATATAGCAATACAAATTGTACAGCAACATAATAAAACAATGTCATTTGTTCAGTGTTCAGAAGTAAGTATATTTAGTAAATAGGAATATTAGGAATAATAATAGTAATAAAAATAAATAAAACTTTAAATAATATGTACCTATTATGAACAGAACAGAAATGTATTTGATTATTATATGTACATACAATTACCTAGGTATATTAACATTTTAAGTATAGATAGAAGAAAAAAATCAAACAATTTATATATTTTATATAAAAAAAAATACAAACTAAAGTATAAAATCCCATTTTCGTGGTAACATTGCAAATCTATCGATAATTTTTTCCACATTTAAATCAACATTTTGGTATATGTTTAGTAAAGCCAATCCAGTAAGTCTCGTTTCTCCCATATTGTTTCGTAAGTATGTTTTAAGTCTCCGTAGAGTTGAAAATGACCGTTTAGCAGTAGCAGTTGTAACAGGTAATGTGGCCATAATTGTCAAAAGACTGTGAATGTTTGGGAAAAAATCATAAGACATTGCAGACAATGTAGTAAATGATGTAGTTGGACGGTCTCTATCAGATACATTTTTCCATTTAGTTAGCCATATTTTAATTTCTGCGTCAAATGTTTCATAATTAGGTAAAATATCTTTATAAAAAAGCGCTACCTCTTGAAAATATTTTATATCAGTTGTATTTTTAATAAAATTTGGAATAAGTGATTGTAGTTTGGCCATTACATGATGATGATTAGTAAATCTATCTTGTAATTGACAAATAAAATGATCCAAAAACGGTAAAAATATTGATCTTTTGTAATACTGTTCCGGAGAATCAGATGGAATATTGTTACGTGCAGTTTGTCGACCTACAGTTCTTGGTACCTCAATAATTCCTTCTAACATAGACTCTTATACATTAGAAAATATTTGTTTAAACTCATCATCGCCATTTTCTCGAATTTCTTTAAATATTTGACATACATCTGTTACTCGCTCATAACAATATGACAAATCAATATTTACTTTTTGTAGTGGTATAGATAGTGGTAAAGTTAAAGAAAAAAACTTCTCAATCACATGTAAAGCTATGATAAAATCTGAGTTATTAATGGAAATTGAAAGCTGAAAAGCTGTACGTGATGTTTCTATATTTGAACACTCTTCTAATTTTTTTAATGCATAATTCAATAGAAATTTTTGTCTCGATCGAGTAGGTACGGAAATAAGAAAACCAGTCACAAACATCTAATTATAAAAATATTTTATAATAATAGGAATATAATAAATTTGACCTAATTTTTAAAGAAATTATTTTGGGGGGGTGGGGGGGGGGTTGAACCCCCCCCCCCCCATGTATACGTGCCTGATAGCACCTATAGGTTCCCCTTATCAACCGATGATTAATATAATTACGTTACCATAGTAACCACGTTGATAATTATAATATTATTATTCATTACCTATTACTATCATAATTTTAAAAACATATAATAATACTATCGGATCCACCCGACCACGAGGTTGTCCAGGCCAAAGTTTTATATTTTTAATAAATATATTTGTACAAAATGTATATTATCATAATATTATATTTCTTCTAATATTATAATATTAATATTGGGGGACGGAGTGGCCGAACGGATTGGAGTCGGTTGAGATGCACACACGGAAAAAAAATTACTATAATATTATAGTTAAACAAATTATAGAAGATATAACAATTAATTAGGTAAATAACTAAAATGATTTACTTATTATGACTATATAAATATAGTTAATTTTTAAGGCAATGTTTACTATATTTTATAGTTAAAGTAGTTTTTAATGTTTGATTTAACTAAAAAATATAGTTAAAATAGCATATTTCAGTTCGTATAACTATAATAACTTGACTATGATATTTTAGTAAATCTGACTAACCTTATAGCTATCCCTATAGCAATAATTAAAATGTACAATCAATCCTACTATTTTTATAGTACAAACAGCTGTTTTGTTTTTTCCGTGCACCGGCGCCGGTGGCCTTTTTCTTCGGGCAAGTCACCGTGTCCGGTGAGAAGTGCCGCCATCCCCCACCCGGTTATGTCAGATACCTACGGGTATCGCTAAAAAAAACCGCTAAAAAAAACTGCCAAACCAAAAACACACGTGTTTTTACAAACCTACAATTTCCTCCCCTACAAACAAAAACAAACAACTAATGGCCATAGTTACCAGGCTTCACGATGAATAAAAAAACATATGTATAATAATAATAATATAATAATATGTAGCCAATTGCAACGATTTAGATTTTAGATAAACAAAAAAATTTTCTTTTTAGTAATCGGAAGAAAAGTCATATGCGAGCTACCATTTAGATATCTAACCTATAGGAGTTGAAAAAACAAGCTATAAACATCCTTCAAGTTTCAAGTAATTTATTGATATACATTTTATAGAAAACGGTTCAGTCGTTTTTTGAAGCTATTCATTTCAGAAGAACTAACATACAATTTTAGTTGTATACAAGGGAAAAAATACAACATTTATAGATCATAGAAGTGTATCTTGATTTTGGTGTACCTGTCTACCTCAGTTCATAGGTAAATTTATTTGCGTCGCTTTGCGAACTAAATCGACCAAGATGGACATTTAGTTTGTGATGGATTAGATAGATCACTTAGTATAAATATAACGTGATTTAAACTTTTCTTTAAACTTTCCTGATATCTCCAAGAACAATTTGAAATATTCACAAAATTGGTTAAGTTGCTTTTGAGTAAATACCTATGTATAATAGCTACAAATATACATTCAACTCTCATATTTGTTTTAAGATATCATTTCTTTATTTGAAACCATAAACGTGATGACTTGATACAAAAAGAAGTAACTAATGGCAACCATTTAGATACAAAAAAAATACTAATTTCTACGGACTATTTTCCATATAACGAATAGCAACGATTTATAAACAAAAATATCCATCGTAAATCTCAAAAAATCTGTTTAAGTTCCGCTCCGGGTTGGACCTACCCGATGCAATTATGAATCTAAACCATCCAGGCAACTAGTCAAAAACACACAAAAAATAATATTAAAATAGGTCCGGTCATTTGGGAGGAGTTTCATTAACACACACGGATAATAGAAATATATATATGGTGTTAACCGTGATAAATTAAATGTTAGTATGTATATACCCCTAAGTTTGGTTAAATGTAAACGGCGCTGCAGATTTTAATACGGTAGATTTTTGTGGTTTAGACCAAGTATAAAAATATATAAGTCTAAAAGTATATCTTTGTTAATAAATGTCAATGTTTGTATGTGTAATCGATCCACAGCCGAGTCGATCGCACTCATAGTTTTGAAATGTGGTGTATAGGTATCCTATATTCGGGAATGTGCACCTCGAAGACAATTTTTTTAGTTTTGCATTTTAGAAAGGGTTCACACAGGGATTTGTAAGATAACAAAAAATGAATATGCTTTGTTTGTACAGAATTGTAATATTGGTTACAGAAAATAAAATAGTTATTACAATTGTATATAATCTTAGACATGTATTTTATATTTGGTCAAAAGTCAAAACCACCAGAAAAAACTACGTGTTAAGATCTGAGCTTACATTTAACGAATTTCAAGAAGGGGTAAATCCACGAGCATTATTTAATTTGTCACAGGCAACACCGTGTAGGATCATCTGATATAAATCGTACTATAATAGTAGTTATTATATTTATTTTATTTTATGTTACTAAAATACTAATGGCAACCAAATATGCATACAAATAAAAAAATATTCATTTATCGTGAGCCCCTCATTAAAATGCTAAAATTGGCTTCGAGGTGCACATCCTTGGGTATAGGATTACACCGATGTACCAAATTTCAGAACAATCAGTTCGGTGGCCTTGGCTGTTGCCTGTGGATCGCGCACACAAACATAGCGTTTTATTAATGTATAAATGATTATATATTTTTCCGTGCAATGGAGAAAATATCAAGTAACACGGTAGGTGCGTTTTTAAAATGAGTATTATTTTGTTACCATAACACTATAATATATAACCAGCAGCTTCCACCGACGGAGTGGATGTCGATTTTGTTATTTTATACAGCGCAGAAAAAGTATCGGATCAATATAGAGTATAATATTATTGTCATTATTATTATTACATTATAGTCATTATAATATTACAATTATTATTTACGGATAGTATTAATAATTATAATATTATTATATAGGAACAGAAAACGGCGGACGCTGGTCATGTGGCGCCGCCGTGGTTCCCCAAAAATGTGTTTTATTATATTATTACTATTATCTACAGCAAATAATGTACAAGAATATGGTAAAGAAAAATACATGCTCACCTACCTGCAGCAGATGAAGCGCGTTCGGAGTACAATGCTAGTCTTGTGCCGAGCAGGTTACCGTAGAACTGTTGGACAGACAGTTCGACGTCCCCCGAACATCTTAATTCCCCACCTCGTCAAATAAAATATTATAGTTTCGAACCCTTAACCGCCAACACCCTATTGGCAGAGTACGACTGTGCCTACCTACCTGCCCGACCGTACACACATATTGTACTGACACGACACGTGTTTGCCGCGAGTGTGACGGCGAGAAAACGCGCGAGGTTTTGGTTCCCCGCGAACAATGACGACGCAGCGTCCTTTTCCCTTGTGATTTATATAATACGAATAATATGTTTGTCGTATGATAATGTTATTATTATTTTTCTACGACGAATCTTCCAAACGACGAATCTTCCATACGACTAATTATTGTGTTTTATGAAAACCCCGTCAAGACCGAATTAGACCAAAATGCACGTGGTTGTTGTAGGTATTCTATTATTTACGAATTTACATATAATACGATTTTTTTTTTTTTGTTCGCCCGTCGACGTTTTGGTAATAATATTAAATTTGTGCTAGTTTATAAGTATTATAAGTAGGTATCTGGTATAATATGTTTTTTTTTTACTGCACATTCGATCGATCTCCGGTCAGGTCGAAAATTTGGTAGTTTAGTTTTTTCTCATAAGACTTTAAGGACTAAATATAACGAGTGCGCGCGTAGGTATCACGGTTATCTGCTAGTAGATAACCATGGTATAATAACAGGTGTAAGTATACACACATAATACTTATTATTATTACATAACAATATTAATTACATTTGCATTCTGCCGTTTTATTTATTATTTATTTTAGCGACTACGCGTTTCCTTTCAATATTATATTCCGCGGTCGTCGTTGCGTTAATGTAATAAATAATAATATGCTATCATAATGCGTAATTAAGGTTTTTAATATTATTGTACAATGTACAATAAATGTGGGTACCCACATAAAATCATTTTTTCTCGGTGGTGACTTAGGTAGTTTGTTAATAATATGATTTTCCCCAATGCCGTCTGAAATCGAAATAAAAACCTTATACGCCTACTCGATCATTAAACTTTGGTAAATAACATTATTATCTGTTTATACAACTTTCTAAATGATCATCGAATATAAGTATAGGTGCTCATGTTAAAATAAACCATAAATATTTTAATGCAATTTAAACTCAGGTCGTAAAACTGTGTTAGATAATTATTTTTCTAAAATATATTAGACACGCAAAACCTACCTATATTATATTCAATGCATACGTTTGTCACGGCGGCATATTGTTCTACAAGTGTAATATTATGTCGTCCGCGGGCAAGAATATATAATATTGTAGAATACCTCACCAAGCATGCTCAATCCCCACTTATCCTTTAAATAATGGGTTTCTCCAAATTTTGGTTTTCGACATTTTTAAGTAGGTACACTATTAAAGACAATATTTTAATTTTTTTTTTACCATTCAATGATTATAATTTATAACCCAATATGGTGGTACAAAATTTTATTTTTTCGAATGAGAATCACCATTCTCTAGTCACCCATAAATGGTTAAGCAGTGGTTTTTTTATAAAATACTAAATAGATGTTAATACTTTGAAGTTAGTCTCGTACTCTAGTACCTACTTATTACATATTAATATATTAATGATATTATCATACTCAGATAATTTATACAATCTATAAAATGTACATATAAATTATAATCTATATAGATCATTATAAATAACTTTATATTTCAAATCTTCAATGCCTCCATGACTTCCAATCCTATTATCATGAACCTATTCACCTATTACCTACACAAAGTTAAATAAGCCAAAAACTACTCATTAAATTTCTAATTTAGATTACATTTTCTTAAAAATTATTCGATTCATAATTTTACTAAAAAATTATCATCTAAACAAATCTATCCGAACTCCTTAAATAGTGTATAAATATCGAAGTATTTGAAATCATGTTAATATAGTCCCTAAGCAAACTTAGCGATTCCAAAGCGCATTATTAATTGTTAAATTACATTATTGAAAGAAAAAATTGTTGGTAAGCATATTTGCTGAATCACCTACGATAGATAGGTACCTACATTATTATAGTTGGACGCTGCCGTTGTTATTGTGCGTGATTGCGTGAAGACATATTTAGTCGAGCAAAAAAACTGAAAAATAAATAATAACCAAAGTCGGTCATCGGAAGATTGTATATTTATTAAGAAAAAAAAAATCAAAACAAACAATCCAACGAACAAACACGTCTGGTGTATTATTCGTCATGTACGTCGAATGTGTGTCAAATAATACCGAAGATTAATGATTTATTAAAAATGTGAGTGATTTTTTTTTTCCCTCCGACCATCATGGTCGTCGATCGTACGATTTCAGTTATTTATTAAACATTTCGTTTTGACACGACGACAATATTTTGAAATACCACAGAGAGAAAAAAAATGAATATGTATATATCGTATTCTACGGTGCTGTTCAGGGCACATTGTTACGATGCATCATGTACCATGATAAATTATAGTTTATATAATAAATATTAAATTATACTATGTACACACTATACACTATACACTATACACTATACACTATACACTATACACTATACACTATACACTATACACTATACACTATACACCTTTGCAGTGCGTGTGATCGCTGCTGAGCAGAATAGAACTAAATCGTTAAGAAGGGTGTCCGGTTTTCAGCACAAAAAATCGAATTTGAATTTGATAAAAATCTTTTTAGTTGTTAAACCAAAATATAACACAGTATGCAGATCGGACTGGATCCCGATTTTAAATACCTACTCTGTTTTAATAGGTTATAACAATCGTCTAAATATTACTCAACATTTTTTTTTAGTATTTTAAACATGTTTTTCTAGCATCGTTTGAAATTAATTCAAAAATTTGAGTTCAATGCGATTTGAACTGTGTTTTCTTCATTCTTGTAAAAAAAAAAAAATCAAAACCAAAATATCCTACAATTCTATGAGGAGAGATCGCGTTTACTGTAAAGTAATTTTTGATCGTTGAAATTATTATATTTTATTTTACTGTACGGCTTTTTGTATGGCCTCCACGCCTCGTAACTAGAAACTGCCTGCATTTCTGTCCCTCGATAAATAGCCGGCTCCCACATCCTTAAATATCATATAATTTATTATTCTATGTCAATTCATTACGCTTAATTAAAATGGACGGCCGCGTGTGACGATCGTTTATTTGGATTCGGTCTGAACATAATATTATTATAATGTGTATAATATAATAATATTATGTGTATGAGCGATGCTGCGGTTTATCGATATTTCACATGGTTATAATATTATATTCGGAGAACTGTCAAGACGAGTTTAAGAAAAAAAATAAAAAATCATTGGCGCTACGAGGGCGTATGTTGAAAATAATATTAAGTTATATATTGTGCAAAGCCACTGCAAGTGCAGAGAGCGCCGTATTGAGATTGAACGTTTTTAAGAGCCACACCTCCCGCGCCGACTGACTTATCGTACCTATTAATAATTCACCTAAACCGATATAGATTTCCGATGAAATTCTACAATTTCTTATTAGTTAGTATATATCTTTCCATGGATGTGATTCCGTTATAACCGATTTTTTATCTTTATGATTTATCATTACATATTAAGATAAAATTGCACAACTAAGCCAAATAGACTCAATTTATCGATAAAACAAAAACACTTTGACACTAAAAAATAATAACTTCAAATAGGGTACCTATAAGTATCATAATTTAATTAAGTAACTAAAAACCTTTAAATATATTATTATTTTTATGTCACACAAACCATTCATATAATTGATTGATCAAATTAAAGAATAAATAATACACGGCATTATCACATGACATAATCTTCTTCGAGGTCTATTCAGTACCTACCAAGATTATCTCGATTTGTGGCTTTTTTAAATTAACGCTTTTAATACAGCATGCGATAATGTGTAAGTAATGACATTTTCTTGACGATATTTGGACGCTGAATTATACGTAGGTATCGTGTTGTTTAATCGATCAGTCGAAGGCCCTTCCTCCAATCCTCCCACCTTTTACTATGACCATGTGTACTTATGTGCAGTGTTTATGAAGCGGTTGGCGCTCTAGGAAAATGTCTACTTATATAAACTATACATACGTATAAAATCATTAGTGGGCAAGTCAATGGAAATAATAAATTTAAATTAACTGAACATGCGGATCGTAAATCTAGAGAAGTTAACAGTTAGCAAATAATACATTTAACTTGTTAAGTTCAAAGTTAAAAATATTATGTGAAAAAAATAACAACCTACGTGGATTACATAAAGAGTATTTTATCTAAGGATAATGTTTTTTTATCAAGAAACTTAACATACATTTTAGTACTCGATTATTTTTATTAATAAACTCATTACATAATATACAGTAATTTATGTATAAAATCAACAATTTCAAAATTCATTTAGAATTTTAAAGTGATGGATTGATTTTAAATCAACTGAAAAAAATCTAAGAACTTGAACTAACTTCAACAGTCAATTAAACTAGTCAGGTTATTAATGTAATTAGTAATTTAACTGACTAGTTAAACTTAAAAGTTATTGAAAAAATTAAATGTTTAGCTAGTCCAAATAAAGAAAAAAATGTTATCTTAAAAAATTAAAAACGAACAACAATCTACACCAGCTGCTGAGGCAGCTCTAAATAGAGTACAGACAGACAGATAGACAGATATAATACAGTTGAACATCAATATCTTGAGTCGGTCGGAGACAAAAAAATTATTCTAGTTATCAAAAATTTAAGTTATAGAAAAAACTGTACCTACATATTGAAATGTACGGGGCAACAGATTCTTTCGAGTTATCGAAAATTCGACTTATAAACGTTCGGGTTATCGAGGTTCCACTGTATATTATGTTTGATCGGCGGTTGCCTATAGTAGGTACATTATAAATTATAAAATTGTATATGATACTATATCTTTATTTTATATTATTATAATAATAAGTAGGTATGCATAACCTCCGATGATGGTAAACAATAAAGCATTAACTCGTGTTTTTTGTAATTGCTAAAATTTTATATTATATAGGTAAGTACTGAGTAGGCAAAAATTTAAAACTACATAGATATACCGTGTTGTTTTTGTCGAAATATCGTTGAGGTAAT